GTGATTGGTGCCGACAAACGTGCTGATGATAGATCGAACTGATCGAACTTCAGCGGTGACAAAAATTCGAATGGAAAAAGGTGACAGGAATAAGAGCCGACTAGGATAAAAGCCGAAGGGCACGAAGTTAGCAGGAATAAAAGTTGTATTTGATAAGGACGAACAACAAAAAGTTGACGGGGATTGAAGTCCAATCAAACATTTACAGCTTAAACAGTTGAAAAGCCTCAGAAATAAAAGTTTAGAGGAATTAGAGTCGATAGGGAAAAGCAAAAATAGAAAAGTCAAAGACGGAAGTCCGAATAGGCAAAAGCCGGCAGAAAGTCCATGAGGTACACTTACTGTACATTAGGACACTTATTATCAGAAGCAACGGCCCGAAACGCCGAGCGCGGACAGCATAATCAGCGTGTGTTCTATCACGTCGTTTAGCGGTGCCTCCTGGCATATTAAAAGGCCGATAACTCGGCTTAGGAATCCGAACTCATAATGCCGAACACCGCTGTGGTTTCATATTCATTTGGGCGGGGCTGTTGTCCCCTACCCCAATTTTTTTTTTTTAAAGAACGGTTGAATCCGGGAGAAACCCATTTGTCGGCGTTCTGAAGAAGGTTGCGTCATTGTCCCCTGTCCGTTCTCCTCCCCCCCCCCCCCCCCAGTCATTTTGCGAAACTACGCCCCGGGCAGAATAACCAGAAAGCTGATGGCCTTCCTCACAGGCATCAAGCATCATAGTTTTGTGTCTGGAACGGGCCCACACAATGGACACAGTCACCCAACAGATGCAGTATGTTGTCCTGCGGCCGCCCTGCGTACCCCGCTCTCCTCCCTCCCCCCGACGTAAAGCGCCGGGGATACAAGAGTCCCGCACCATCGCGCAGCCGACGAGAGCCAGGTGATGCTGCGAAGCTGTTGAGACCGTTATTTTGGCGTCGTATTCAGTGCCTTAGGGAGCAGCGCTCTCCGAAGGTTACCTTAAGATTTGTGTGGTCCCGTCCCGCCCCATTCAGTGGCATCATGCTCCGTCCATTCCCGCCTGATCTCGTCCTGTTTCGTCCGGTTCCATCTGCTCTTGTATGGTTCCGTCTGGTCCCGTTGATCCCATTCTGTCTCCTCTGGTACGTTTCGATCACGCCCGGTGACGTGCGATGCCGCCTGATCGCGTCCGGTCACGCGCGGTCCCGTGTGGTGCCGTCAGGTGCCGTCCGATCCAGCCTCATCCGAACTCTTCTGGCCCGGGCCTCTTGTTGTGATCTGGTCCCGTGTGGTGCCGTCAGGTGCCGTCCGATCCAGCCTCATCCGAACTCTTCTGGCCTGGGCCTCTTGTTGTGATCTGGTCCCGTCTGGTGCCGTCAGGTGCCGTCCGATCCGGCCTCACCCGAACTCTTCTGGCCCGTGCCTCTTGTTGTGATCTGGTCCCGTGTGGTGCCGTCAGGTGCCGTCCGATCCAGTCTCATCCGAACTCTTCTGGCCCGTGCCTCTTGTTGTGATCTGGTCCCATGTGCTCCCCTCGCCTCCCATCCAGTCTCATCTCTATGCCCGTAGCCACAGCGTAATCTGCATTTTACAACAAATTTCAAATCCTGATGATTTGCCTCCCAGTTCGCCTTTATCATTTCGATGATAAAGGCGAACTGGGCCCGGCGTGGGTAGTAAAGAGGAGGCCGTCGTATTGCTGTAAGAGACCGTAACGCATCAAAATGTGGCTCGAGACGATCAGTTTTATGGGTCACAGAAAACGGACGTGAATAACTGTATAGAATGTTCACCCTTCGACATATCCATATCTATCCATTCACCCTTCGACATATCTATATCTTCGACATATCTTTCGACATATGCCTTTTCTACTGTTATCCCTGTGAACTTCCCGTTTGGACTTTTCCTTTTCCAATGTTATCCCCGTCAACTTGTATCATGTTCGGTTGTGGTTCATCGACTTTGTTCAGGTCCGACTTTTATCTCTGTGGATTTGTATCCCTATTGTTTGTTTTTTTTTTGTATCCCTATTATATTTTATTGTTTCCCTACTGATCAGTTTTATGGGTCACGGAAAACGGACGTGAATAACTGTATAGAATGTTCACCCTTTTAGAGCACCCAACGACCTACGGTATCTGAAGGCCCATTCGGGGGATCCGGTCCATGTTTTTGACGTGGCCACGATATCTCGAGATAGCTCGGGGTGCGAAGTCATCCAGGTGCCTCAAAATTCTCGGAGAGCCCGGACACCGCGAGGGGAGTCATCATGTGGACATGGTTTTGACTGGGGCTGCGAAGGGACGCGCCATGATCTGTGAAGGGTTTTCTCATCGTAAATTCCCCCGATACGGCCGAAGGTTGTCAACTGGAACCCGCAAGTGCTGAGACCAGGATATACCCACAGGCGGCCCAGACGACTGGGCATCGCAAAGATATTTTGTCTTTGGATTTCGTTCCTCGTGTAAAGGGCCTGGCATGGTTGGGGCCTAAGTAAGCATTTTGGGTAACTGAACGAAGCATGACCAGGACCAGTTGCATTTCAACAAAACATGACCAGGACCAGTTGCATTTCAACAAAACATGACCAGGGACCAGTTGCATGTTCAACAAAACATGACCAGGACCAGTTGCATTTCAACGAAACATGACCAGGACCAGTTGCATTTCAACGAAACATGACCAGGACCAGTTGCATTTCAACGAAACATGACCAGGACCAGTTGCATTTCAACAAAACATGACCAGGACCAGTTGCATTTCAACGAAACATGACCAGGACCAGTTGCATTTCAACGCAGCAGTATTGGT